CGCCTTTTTCTAATCTCTCTCGCTTTGTCCTTTCGTAGGTTTTCTCGCGCCAACTCTGCCGACTCTTCCGTCTGCTGACTCCCATCTTGCCCCCGGGCGCTAGACAGGAGGAAGCAGTGGCCTTCTACCTCAAGCCGCTGGGCTACCGCGACCCCGAGGAGACCGTGGAGGCCTTCATCAAGGCCAACACAAAGCGAAAGAAACGAAAAGTGTAGGGCTACTCTGCTTTTTTTTTAAATTTTAGCCACCGTGTTGTCGTGTGCTGCAGTGGAAGAGTATTAGCTCATTACAAGTGTGATGATTACTGCGCTCCGCGTTCACAACTGTCTGCTCAGATTAATTAGTCCAGCGCAGACGAAGCGTGTCCCTAGCCTCAATGTGTCAGTAAGCTGGTTGGTGGAGTAATCACAACCAATGTATTACCGACAAACACAGGGGACATTCACAAAGGCTTTTTCTGCCTCATTGGGCGTCATCAGGTGGTGGTAGCCCAACTCCAGTGTAGCAGCGGAAATTGCCGTCACACCCGAGTTTCGAACTCGCGTCTCTCCGGCCAGAGTCGAACGCTCTAACCACTGAGACACGGGCCCGCCGTGTTGTCGGTTTGTGATTATATAGTAATGGGTAACTGTGCACCGATCTGTTTCAGGGTGTACTCTGTTGTAACAGAAGCCCAGGCCGAGATATCACCGCCAATAACGCTTTGTGTGAGTCCCCAAAAGAAGAACACGACAAGAAGTGTGTAACAGCAGGAGTCTTTGAGTGTTATATACATATGTACAACGTATTTAGGACAACAAACCGCGTAACACGATGTCCATTGAGCCAATCAGCTCCTCTCTTGACGTAGTCGCCGGTCGGATTGGCTGTTGGCTCAGTGAATGAATGTAGCTAGAAATTCATTGAAATTGATTGATTGTCTAGCACGATGCGTTAGCCCGCGCGTAGGCCGATCGATAGCCTATTGTGGACGCTGCTACTTGCTGCCTCTATGCTGGCCGTTGGGTCTCTCCTAACATACTCATCCTGGTTGGTGCCTTGTTTGCGAGATCTCGGAACCCCGAGTATATGTGTGTTCAAGGCGAAATATTTATGTTACTCGCTACGTTTTAGTAACCAGCGTAATCATAAATCCAATATCTGACACGGGTGATGCAGTTACAGTCACCCGCATGCTGGCTCTCATGTAGTTATCGCACT